GTACAAAAATGCAGGGATATAAAAGAAAAATTCGAACTCAGTGAAGTGATAATCTTTGGGAACTCCTAGGTGTTAGAAATGGCACTGGGCATCAGTTAGCTAATGTTTCATTCGCTTTTTCACATTTGTTGTATTTGTAGCCTTAGAATTGGTAAGTCTGGTTTGGAAGAGAGGGACTTCATTTATGATGTCACTGTGAGACCTGTTGTGAAGATTTTGTAGGAAAATACAGTAATCTGTCGATTCTTTCCTGTCGTGATGGCTTTAACATCTCTTTGGCTGTGTTTAAGTTCAAGAGCCTGCCCGGCCACGCAGGCCTGGCTTTTGTGTTTCTTGGGAACAGGGCATGCCAGACCGTGAGGTGGGTCCTGAAACGTTCAAGGCCACTGGTCCAGCCCGACTCTGCCCAGTGTAAGCATCGCTCTCCGTCTCTCCTCTGGAACTTCATGTAGCAGCCTAACCCTGGGGCCAACTTGCCTTTACTCTATTTTCTATGATGAACACTTGTGGAAAAACTGTGACAGATCCATTGATCCTAATATTTTTATTGTTGGAGTCTTGTTGATTCTCTATGAATAATTTCTATTTGATTGTACTGTGTAGAATTAATACCCACTAGGGATATGTTAATAAAACTATAAATGCATAGTGTAATATAGAATAGCAAGATTTTTTTGTGAACAATTTATATAGAAAAGTAAGTCATTTTTTAAGTGTTAGGCACATTTCTTTTAGGAACTTAAAATGTTATAAGAGTTTTTTAAACATTCAATATTTTTAATTATAAGAAACATTTGTTACTAGAGCCAGTTATTTCAGGTGTTCTAATTGGAGTATTGATTTTATTACCTCATATACCTCTAGAATGCCACATGTTCTGTTGGAGATAAAATTGCACAATAAATGTCAAGTCTCTGTTAAGTGTTTCTGCATCTTTCTCCAATTCATTGAAGAAGCTTTTCTGTTTGTTTTTGTTTTTTTTTTAAAGAACTTTATGCCCCCTGAAGCTAAGGCTTTTCTGCTTATCTCTGAATATCTACTCTGTATATACTTAAACTTAAAACCCAAATAAAAGATACTCAAGTTATGTCAGGGAACGGATCAGAAATCATCCAAAAAAGTCATTTGATCTCGTGACCAAGAAGGACAAGCAGTGATGATGGAGAGTAGCGTGGGAGCCGAGAGGACTTCTACCCTGTGTTTTTCTGTATGTTCGCACTTCACACGGCCTGTTTCCTACACGACAGCACCCTTCTATTGGGGAGGAAAAAATCCTACGGCTGCTACTCATGACCTTTAAAAATGAACAAATGTTGATTGTTTATGGTTTTTGAACAGTGATCTGAGTACAAAACCAGAATAGTTACGGCTAAATAAAGTGGCATGATTGTGGCTTCCCACATTTAGTTATTATATAAAATATGAATCTGACATCAGCCATTACAGAATTATAAAATTGAGTAAATGTCATTTCATAAATCAGACTAAGTAAAAACTAAAAAGACTTGTTTCATTTTAGGGAAAATCTAAAGATGTGATTTTTTTCACTAGAAGATGCAACATTTCAACGAGGTGTTTTGGATGAAGCAGTAATTTAGTCCAAATAATTTGGGTTTCAATTGGGATGTCAATTACAATGGAATTTAAATTATTTTATTCTAAAACATTAAAAGAGGATTGTTAAGTAACTTTGAGTTTTTAAATATTTTCAAACCTACAAATGTTCTCAAATATTTTGAATATTAACCCCAGACACACAGGGTAAAGCTTCAGATTTAAATACTTGAAAAAGTATTAGGAACAAATTCATCCAGGTTGCAAGATATAAGATCAATATTCAAAAATCAATTGTATTTCTATACACCAGCAACAGACAACTTGAAAATGAATTTAAGGACAATTCCATTTATAATAATACTGGAAAGAATAATATACTTAAGAATAAATTTAATAAGTGCCAGACCTGTACACTGAAAACTACAAAACATCAATGGAAGGAATTTTAAAAGATCTAAATAATAATGATAATGGAGTGCAAGAGTTAATATAATATTAAGATGGCAATACTCCTGGAAATGATCTATAGATTCATTGCAATTCCTATTCAAATCTCAGGAGAATTCTTTGCAGAAATTGACAAGCTGATCCTAAAATTCATATGGAAATGCAGGAAGCCCACATAGCCAACAGATAGATGTCCTTACATTTATGTTCAATTGATTGTTAACAAAATGCCAGACAGTTGAATGGAGAAAGAATAGCCTTTTCAACAAATGGTGGTGGGATCACGTGACATGATCTCCTCATCAGAACAAATGCAGTTGGGGGCGCCTGGGTGGCTCAATCAGTTAAGTGTCCAACTTAGTTTCGGCTCAGGTCATGATCTCAGAGTCATGGGATCGAGCCCTGCGTCAGGGTTTGAGGTCACTACAGAGTCAGCTTGTCCCTCTCCCTCTGCTCCTCCCCCCACTCACGCGTATGTGCTCGCTCTCAAAATTTTTTAAAAACGCAGTTGGAGGGGTGTCTCGCTGGCTCAGTCGGTAGAGTTTGCAACTCTTGATCTTGGGGATGAGAGTTCAAGCCACATGTTTGGGATAGAGACTACTTAATAAAAAAAAAAAAAATGTAGTTGGACCTCTACCTCAAAACCATATGCAAAAAATGAATCAGAGGAGGATAGACCTACATGAAAGAGCTAAAATTACAGAACTTTTAGAAGAAACCATAGTATTAAATTTTCATGATCTTGGATAAGGAAATAGCATCTTCAATTTGAAACCCAAAAGCATAAGCAACATTGAAAAAAATAGATTAACTGGACTTCAGAGAACAACACTATGAAGAACGAAAAGACAACCCACAAACTAGGAGAAAATATTTGCAAATCATATACCTGATAAGAGACTTGTAGTCAGAATATATAGAACTCATAATTCAACAATAAAGACAAATAGCCCAATTAAAAGTGGGCAAAGAAAGAATACACATTCTCCAAGAAAGATGTATAAATGGCCAATAAGCACATGAAAAGATGCTTAACATCATTAGTCATTAGGGAAATGTAAATCAAACCACAATGGAATACCACTTCACTAGGATAGCTACAATGAAAATGACACACAATAACAAATGTTGGCAAGGATATAGAGCTATTGAAACCTTCATACCTTGCGGGTAGGAATGTAAAATGGTGCAGTCATTTTGAAAAACAGTCTGGCAGTTGCTTGAAACGTTAAGAGTCAATACGTGACCCAGCAATTCTACTCATAGGTATATACTTAAGAGAATTAAAAATGTTGCATACAGATGTTCACAGGACCATTCTTGATAGTGGCCAAAAAGTGGAAACAACTCAAATGTCCATCAATTGATGAATGGATAAACAAAATGTGGCGTTAAAAAAAAAAAAACGTGTAATGTGTAGCCACACAATGGAATATTATTCAACCATAAAGAAGGAGTGAGACAGCAATACCTCCTACAACATGAACAGACCCGGGAAGAATGAGAGAAGCCAGACAAAGAAGGCCACGTTTCTAGGGCTCCATGTATAAGAACTATTCTGAATGGTCAAAATACCAGGTAGGTCAATTTTAGAGTATGCTGCTCAGTGCATGGTTTACATAATGAAGGAACCAAATGTATTATGATACAATCCCTTTAAAGTTGATTATCATTCACACAGTAGATGTATGGAGAGCCCGATGTGCCTGGCACTATTTCAAGCATCACATCCCAAGAACCAAAGTGATACCACCCATGGCTGGATCCCTATTTGGAAGAAAATGACAAAGACCTATTATGAATTATGAGAAAACCCCAAGTTCCACCGTGCAACTTGTTCCTCCGAATAAAGCTATATTCAAAAAGCTTACTCCCGCACAAAACGAGAGACCGTGCCACTGAGCCTGTGTCTCTGTCCTACCGAGACAGCTCGAGCTGACTGTCTCTGCCAAAGTACATGCCAATTCAGGGCAAGATTGGTTCATAGGATTTATGGTACTCCCAAGTCCTTTTTGAATTATTCTTGTTTTCTCTTTTCCTCCTCCCCCGCCAAAGCTGCTGTTCAGACCCCACATAGACACAGTCCTGGTGGTACACACCTGGTGTTTCAGGCAGTCTGTCAGCAAACAGATGGCCCCGTGCACTTGAGGAGTGTTTAATAAAAGACATTCGGTAAGAAGGTCTGGGCGGGTCGGACTGCAGCTCCGAGGGAGAGTAGTGTCCAGACCCGGCACCAGCAGGGGGGTGTCAGCCAGGAGGGGCAGACCGAGTGAGTGACTGGTGGCACTGGGATTAGAGAGGACTGTGGAGAAGGCTCCTCACCAGGAAACATGATCTCCCTGTGAGAAGCCCCGTTAGACTTGGCAGAGCCTAGGGGACGGAGCAGGAGGAATCAGCACCCTGATCGCCCTCCTCTTTTCCGTCTCCTGCTGCCGCTTCCCCCTAGCTGAAAGCATCTGGAAACCAGAGGCAGGGACCCCATTTATAGCCATACAAGTCAGCATCTTGGGACACCGAGCCGGGGGAGAAAGGAGAAAGGGAAGATGGGAGGCACAACAGATATGATCATGGAGACTAGTCTGATGGTCCTAAGAGCTCTTGGGTTCCACCTCATTGGAATCCTGAGAGTTGACGTCTTTCCATAAATGACTTGTAATTCCTAGGAAATTGGAATAGTTGGACATTTACTTAATCAGCAGGTTAAGTGTTTCACTAACATGATCACGCTGAATCCTCTTTATGAGTCTTTGGGGGAAAGTAGTATTGTCCCCCCACTCTGGATGAATAAACCGACAGAGAGAAGTTCCCAAGATGACAGAGCTAGCCGTGCCGAAGTGGTGAAGCCAAGGCACCCATCCGGGCGGTCCCACCGCAGGTAAGAAGCAGAGGTTTGACCTACTTCGGTAAAACTCATCTTTGAAGGTAATATCTGAAAGACTTGCGAGACTGAGAAAAAAAGTTGCAACAACGGGACTAAGACAGCAACTACCTCTTACCTCTACCCAGCTCTGGCTGGTCAAACTGTACTCTCTGTCTCGATTTGGTCTGAGAAGACTTGCCACATGAAATCCTGAAAAGAAGGCACAGATGAATATCGGTGCAATTTCTGGGTCCCCAGTGAGGCTTGGTTCGCTTCAGTGTTAAAGCTCATTAGAGACCCAGCCTCAGTGCCTCAGCTAACAGCCCTCTGGATGCACTGGTCTTGATGTTTAAGAAACAATGCTTCGGTCAATCAGTCATCAGTAAGGTGGAATGAAATACTTCTAAAAATAGAATCTGAGTCTTTGTGCTTATCAAATGTCAAATTTTAATTAATTGGCTTCTGCAGTGGTTTTGAAATACAGCTTTAAGATAAACATTCATTCTCATTTCCCAAAAATGTTATAGACCAGATTGATCCTGATCTTTTTTACTTTCTTTAGTCATAAAAATCAAAATTCATCAAAGCACAAAAATACTTAAGAATACCAATAATGAAAATGAAATATAACAGTAGGCTGTGTGGTTGAAGAACAGCACAGGGACCAGAACACGGAACTATAAATACCGGCATTTTTTAAAACCTAGGGTCCTCTTCCCAACAATAAGAGACTAAAAACAGGGGCGCCTGGGTGGCTCAGTCGTTAAGCATCTGCCTTCAGCTCAGGTCATGATCCTGGGATCCTGGGGTCCTGGGATCGAGCCCTGCATCGGGCTCCCTGCTCAGCGGGGAGCCTGCTTCTCCCTCTCCCACTCCCCCTGCTTGTGTTCCCTCTCTCACTGTGTCTCTCTCTGTCAAATAAATAAATAGAAAAAACAATCTTAAAAAAAAAAAAAAAACAGAGACTCTTCAGCCTCTGCCAGATTCTAAGGAGAAATTCAGGCCCTGGGGAGATAGGAGGAACAGAGGTATGAAATGTCTTCTACTCTGTCTCTTTTTTTGTACCATCGACAATGATTCATTCTCCTTCCTGGCAACACAGAAGCATTTTCAATTCAATTGAAAAAAAAAACATAATAATGTGTTTGATTGTGGGTTGTATTGTGTTTTCTATTAGCATTTTGTGCTAAATAATTACCCTTTCGGTTTCTGGTGTATTTTTGGATAGACTTTTTCTGTGACTGCAGAAGAATGTCAAAGCCAAAACTAGGCACATAATATATGAAATATATGATAGCCCTGGAATTGGTAAATATTGGGGAACTCTGTCACATTTCTCTTTAGGGATATTTAATGAGGAAAATTCTTATGAATCTCCAAGGAACTATAAAACATTTGTTTAATGAAGAAGTGTCTAATCCTGGTGAAAAGTATAAAACAAGCCTTTTTCCTGAAATGTCATTAATAATGGAGAAGTTACAGATAGAAGGAATTTCAAAATCTTCTGATGGAACAGGAATTACCATCACTTAAGGAAAAGTAAGGCCCAGAAAATTCTAGTAACTTTCTCAAGTTCATGCACCTATTTACTAGCAGTGCCTAAATGAATATCAAAATAATGGAACCATGGTTTTACAACCACTTGTGCAAACTTCTTATTGCCTTGGCTGCCAGGAAGCCCAGTGTTAAGTTGTATCTCGGTTGTATCTTCCTATGGCTCAGCTCCTCTAGTATGTTTATTCTCTACCACCGTCAACCATCTTTTCTGTTCTTGTCTTTGCACTTATCTTTGAAAATTTATTGTAACAGGGCTTTATTATTAAAAGCTATTTTTGTCTGGAAATAAATGAATTACAGATAATAAGTATATTAGAATGCTTCCTGGAATGTAAATCGTAGTGTTCAAAATCTATCTTCAGAAATAAGACACCTCCTTTACCCCTTCCTGTCACCATTGCCCCCGTCCCTGCCCCACACTCACAAAAACGTTTCAAACTCTCTGTTCTAACTTATCCATAGAATCTGTCTTCTCAACCTTGCCGTCACTTCCCCACCAGGGTTCTGTCCCCTCTTTGCGTGCAATGAGGGCAGGAATCTGATGGATAAGGAAAAATGAGGCACTTGCCCAGAGGTACAGACATGTGATATCCAGGGGACCTGATTCCTTCCCTCTCTGGGATCCTACCTATGAGCCTTTGAGCAGAGAGAGCTCCAGTGTCTGTTGTCTGACAGGAGCTAGAAGAAGTAACGTAAGAAGTGAGAACCAAGTGTGGTTTTAAGCTCCCAAGATCTCAGGTTTAGTTTGTAACTACAGTGTAACTCAGTCTACTGCTGACTCCTATGACAAGAGTGATTCTAACCCTTTTGTGTCAGGAGCACTCTGAGTATCCTATAAAAACTAGGGACTTTCTCCCTAGATGAACAGACACTCAGGATTTTCCAAGGCATTCCCAGGGATCCTTGAATCTCCTATAGCTTATCCGTGGTCTTCGTGTTAAGAACTCTTAATCTAGAACCTTCTTCTCCTCTGCTCAGAACCACCTTTTCCTTGATAGCTTATCTTACAGTTCTTCATTTCTCCTGAGAGCACTTGTTGTCTACATAGGAAAGACTTCGGAGTAAAATATACTGCTCTAAAATACTAAAATGAAATGGCCAAATTATTAGTCCGTAAAGAGGGACTAGAAAGACAAATGGATGAGCCATTTTCAAAATGAAAATTCCACTATTAAAAAAGCATTGTGCTACATCATTATTGAAACAAAGTAGCTTTGTTCCCCCATGATACCCTAAAAATGAATGGATGTACCTTCTCAGAATTCTGCCAAGCTTCAATCTGGTGGGTTCTTTAATATTAAAAACTTTATAGTATACTAAGAAAAATATTTATAAAGGAACATTTTTGAAGGACAATTATTCTGTGCCAGGAACAGTCCTTCCCATTTTGTTAGCCAGACAAACCTGCCCATTTACATTGCAGACGGGCTCACGCTGCAGACTCAGCCACCCACATCATTCCCTGCATATCCCTGTCCTCCCTCCTTCCCCTCTGCTCTAATCAGAAAGGCAAATGGAGCTGTTTCAGTGCCTCTACTCCCTAGTCATATCTGTTCAGCGAGCAGATGTTTCTATTGCCTAGGTACTAAGTGCCCAACCATGAAAATACTTGGGGAGAATATTTAAAATCCGGCCACTCAAATTCATTCCAAAAATAAAGCTACTTTCACAAACAAGTAACCAGATAATGATCCAGTGCTTTTTCAAATCATGCTTTTGGTCTCTACCCACTCTGGTTCTTACCCAAAAACTAACAAAAATTAGTTCTGTCTCCCCTTGGAGCTATCTGAAGCCAAACGCCCATTTTGTTTTCTGTTTCCTTTTATTTTCCTTTTTTCTTTTTTAAGCATGTATTGTGTAATATGGGCTGGGGCCTATGTGAGCGGGTCAGCCCTAGGCCCTACCCTGGGGTCTCCAGCTCCCTCTTACCAGAGAAAAGAGAGGCTATGGGGCAAGAGAACTGTGATCTTTTCAGAACCACACAAGGGCGGCTTTCTCACCAGCTACTCCAGCCAGTGGGCTCCAGCCAGTGGGCTGTGGTTGGAGAGAATCAAAAGTAGCCCCTGCGAGATCTGGTCTTGTGAGACAGGGAAGTGGGCTCCCGAGGTGCCAAGCCTGGCTCAGTTTCTCCAGGACACAGCTCACGAGGAATGCAGTAGGATCTGGGTGTGCCCCTTACATGCTGTGGGTTATGTGGGTTACAGCATACAGCTGTCCACACCCAGGTGCCTTGGTGGCTCAGTCGGTTGAGCATCTGACTCTTGGTTTTAGCTCAGGTCATGATCTCAGGGTCCTGGGATCGAGCCCCGCCTCGGGCTCCATGCTCAGCGCGGAGTCTGCTTGGGGCTCTCTCTCTGCCCCTCTCCCTGCTCGCACTCCCTCTAAAATAAATAAAAATAAAAAAAATAAAGTCCACACGCATTTGTTAATGGAGTGCCTGAAGTGTTTTCTTCTGAAATCCTATGGTTAAAGCCTGTGTTATAATGAAAAACTCCTAGTTGAATATTTACTCTTAAAAATTATTGTTCTTTTTGCAGAGGGGAAAGGAAAGGTTGAATAACTTTCAAAATAATTGCAGGCGACAGCCCTTCCTACTCAAGAGACTACACTAGAAATACCTTGTGGAAAAAAAATCGCTCGGGTCCAAGCATGCTAAAGTTGAAAGAATTGTTTTATTACTAAACTATATTACTTATTGTCAACTTCTGGCTCGGTGGCTTTGTGATAGTTTCAAAGTCTTCAGTCTGCTTGGTAAAAGAAAAAATGGCTATTCCCATTGAATTTGTGGATAACAGTGAATAGCCACAGGCGTAGCCTGGAAATTTGAAAGGAAAACAGGCAGCATTACCATGGTAATAATACTCAGGGTGAGGTGGGGGTAGCAAATGGGTCATCCTGTTATCTACCAGGGCATTCTGTGGCTTCAGAGCACTTAGGACACCATTACAATGACATATTTGTGGGACTTTTTGTATCATTTGGACGCCTCAGGAGATTTTTAGCTCTATGATGGCAGGGGACATAATTGATCTTTTTTTGCCTTTTTGTATTTTTTACCTAGCACAGGAGCTAGCATTCTGTGTGCAGCTCCAAGATATTTTCTAACGTGTTAGTGGGCTGTGCTTATATATACGTATATGCCTGGAGGATGAACAGAGCAAAAAGCTTGTAGAGATTTGAAGAGATTTGTGGGAAATAGTTTAAGTCGTCCTGTGGCCAGCAAGACAATGCCGTGGAGCCTTCTCATGCCACTTCCTCAGTTATAGGGAATCGAGGCATGTCCCCACCCGTGACGGAGAGTGCAGACAGACAGGAAAACACTCAAGAAATAACCCTGTGTAGCTTCACTGTCCTTTGAAAAGTGCGAACACATTTTGGTTAAATAGGCATGCAGAAATTTAAACGGCAGTCGTATGCACAAATGGGGAAGACATCGGTTTAGTTCTCCCAAATTATTCTACACCCCCAAGTAGCTAGAATGCACACACGCATACAATAGTGCCATGCCTCGGCCCTCAATAAAATGCATAAACCTTGGAAGACCTGGAACCCGCGTTGAAATCCCAGCCCCAGGACGTCCCGGCTGTGTCCCTTTTGGCAAGTCATTTCAAGCTCTCTGAGTTTTCTTGTCCTTATTTGTAAAATGATACCTACCTCTTTGAGTTAAAATAAGAATTAAAGCTGACGTCTTATTTGTGTTTTGTCCCTTCTTTGTTCCTTGCTTACTGCCTTGTTTTGGATTGAGTATTTATTACGATTCTACTTTATTCTCACTCTTGGCTTATAACTAGCTGTACCTCTTGGTGTATACTAGTGGTTGCTTGATGCTTTACGATCTACATCTTTAACTTATCACAGTCTGCCTTAAAATAAAGTCATACCACTTTATGACTAATGTAAGGATCTTACAACAATACCCCTCCATTTCTCTCTTCCTGTCCTTTTTGCTATTGCTGTCATATATTTTCATTCTATGTTTTATGGGTTTTTGATTCTATTCCACTTTGGTCAAAGAACATACTTTTGTAAGATATAAATCCTTTTATCCTTATTGACGTGTGTTTTATGGCCAAGCATATGGTCTTTATTGGTAAATATTCCAAGTGCCCTTCAAAAGAATGTGCATTTCTGTTTGGGGGTGGAAGGTTCTATAAATGCAAATGGGTCAAGTCAGTTGATAATGTTGTTCACGTCTTCTACATACTTACTGGTTTTGCAGTCTCCTTCTATTGATTATTGTGAGAGGGGTGCTGTGTGGGTTTATCTGTTTCTCCTTTCAGTTCTATCAGTTTCTCCTTTCAGTTCTATCAGTTTTTGCTTCTTGTATTTTGAAGCTCTGCATTTAGATACATAAATGCTTGGATTATTTTGACCTCTTGAAGAATTAACCCCTTTATCATTAAGAAATAACCTTCATTATCCCTGCTAATAATTTTTATTCTGAAATCTATTTTGTCTGATATTAATATTCCTATTTCAGCTTTCCTTTGGCTGGTGTTAATGTGGTATAGCTCACTCCATCCCATTACCCTTCACCTATATGTACCTTTATAATTACAGTGGATTTTTTATAGGCATCATATAGCTGGGTCTTACTTTTTTTATCTAATGAGACAGTCTCTGCCTTTAATGGAAGCATTTAGACCATTTTACACTTACTGTGATTATTGATATAGTTCAGTTTGAATCTATCATATTGCTATTGGTTTTTCTGTCTCATCCCTTTTTTTTTTTTCCTTTCTTTCTGCCCTGTTCATCCTTTATAATTCCATTTTATGTCTTTTGTAAGCTTATTAGCTGTACCTCTTTGTTTTCTTTTTTTAAGGTTGCTTAACAGGTTAGAGTATATATCTTCAACTTATCACAGTCTGCCTTCAGGTAAGGTAATTTCTCTGCAGGTGTAAGAAACTCAAAACAGTACACTGTTTCTTCTCTGCTAATATCTGTGCTATTATTGCTATATACTTTATTTTTTATTTAAAATCAATTAATTAACATATAGTGTATTCTTAGTTTCAGAGGTAGAGCATTCACCCAATGCTCCTTCCATCAAGTGCCTTCCTTAATGCCCATCACCCAGTTACCCCATCCCCCCCCGCCACCTCCCCTCCAGCAACGCTCAGCTTTTTTCCTAGAGTTAAGAGTCTCTGATTTCGTTTTATTTATTCTTCCTTCCCTTCCCCTTGCTGTTATATATTTTAGTTCTACATTTGATATATACCCTATAGCACAATATATATTTTTGCTTTAAACTATCAACTATCCATTAATTTTAAAAGTAAGAAAACATTTTTATATTTACTCACTTATTTCAGTGCTTGTCATTCCTTTCTGTAGATCCAGATTTCCATCTGTTTTCATTTTCCTTCTGCCTGTAGTACTTGCTCTAAATTTTCTTGTAGTAGACGCCTGCTGCTTGAAGAATTCTTCCAGCTTTGTGTGTCTGAAAGGTTCTTTATTTCACCTTAATTTTATAAGAGATTTTCACTGAGTATAGAATTCTAGGTTGAGAATTTTTTTCTGTTAGCATTTTAAAGATATCCATCTAGTTTCTTCTGGCTTGCATAGTTTCTGATGTGAAGTTTCCTATATTTCTTATCTAAGTATCTCCAATCTAAGGATCTTCGTATATATGTGTCCTTTTTTCTCCCCTCTGGCTATTTTAAGATTCTTTATCACTGTTTTTTCAAGTTTGATTATGATATGACTTGGTGTAGTTTTCTTTATTCTACTTGGGATTTATTAAATTAATTGGTCTATGGGTTTATATTTTTCATATTTGGAAAATTTTTCAGTTATTTCTCCCAACATATTTTCTGTCCTCCTTTCTTTCTCCTCTCTCTTTCTGGCACTCCAATTAGATGTTGTAGAAGACAAAATAATGGCTCCCTGAAGATCTCTACATCCTAACCCCCAGAATCTGTGAGTATGTTAGGTTACGTGGCACAGGGACCTTAAAAAGGGAGCTACCTCTGGATTATATTGGTGGGCCCAATGTAATCACAAGGATCCTTAAGAGTGGAAAAGGGAAAACCAAAAACTAAAAAAAAAAAAGTGGAAAAGGGAGCATAAGAGAAAGTCAGAGTGGTGCAATGTGAAGGTCTGATTCACTGTTGCTGGTTTTGAAGATGGGGGAAGGAGACCATGAGCCAAGAACTACAGGTGGCCTCTAGAAGCTGGGAAAGGCAAAGAAAGGATTCTCTCTAGAGCCTCCAGAAAGAAATGCAGCCCTGTCAACACCAGTGAGACCTTAGTTGGACTTCTAACCTCCAGGACTGTAAGATAATAAATTTGTGTTGCTTTAAGCCACTGAGATTGTGGTAATTTGTTACAGCAGCGATAGCAAACTAATACAAACATATATTAGGATGCTTGATACTGTCCCACAGGTCACATGGATTCTGTTTCCTTCTTTCTGTCTGTGCTTTATTTTGGATAGCGTATAAGTACATCAAATTCACCAATCTTGTCTTTTGCACTGCCAAATCTACTATTACTCCCACCTGGTGTATTTTTCTCTTCAGATATGGTATTTTTTTTTTTTATTTCTTGAATACACACACACACTTTCTTTTCTCTTCCACACACTTTATTTCTTGAATATATATATTCATTCACATCTGCCCTCATATGTTCACATTTTCATTTACATTCTTGAGCAAATCTATATTTAGATAGCTGTCCTAGGTCCTTGTCCACCAATTTCTTCATCTCTGTCATTTCCGCGGCTGTTTCTACTGATTGATTATTCTCTTAGTTATGGGTCATCTCCTCCTGGTAGGAATTATTGATTGGATGCTAAACATCATGAACTTTATGTTGACTTGCTGAATCTTGTTGTATTCTTTATAAAGTGTTGGATTTTGTTCTAGTGTACAATTAAGTTACATGCAGATCAGTTTGATTCTTCTTTTTTTAAAAAAGATTTTTATTTATTTATTTATTTATTTATTTATTTATTTATTTATTTGAGAGAGAGAGTGGGGGAGGGGCACAGGGAGAGACTCTCAAGCAGACTCCCTGCTGAGCGTGGAGCCCTACAGGGGGCTCAGTCTCACAATCCATGGATCATGACTTGAGCCAAAACCAAGAGTTAGACACTTAACTGGCTAAGTCACCCAGGCGCCCCCAGTTTGATTCTTCTGAGGCTTGTTTAGGCTTTGCTATGGTAGATCCGAAGAAGCCTTTACTCTAGGGTTAATTTAACTTCCCAAAGGTGTGATCCTTCCAAGGATTCCACCAAATTTTCTGTATATGGTAAGTTTTCTCTTCTGACTGAGGGAAAAACCAACTCTTCCAGCTGGGTGGGAATTGTTAGGTCGACTGATTTCCAATTATTGTTTCCCCTGTTTTGAGGAGTTTTCCCACATGTGTGCAGAGGTAAGTACTTAATCAAAGACGTGAGGGAATCTCATGACAGATATGTATGGCTTTCTCCCTGTACCTCCATCATCTTTTATAATATGCTTGACAGGCTCTCTCTTCCTTGAACTCCAGTTTCATCTCAACTCAACAAGCTCTCCAGGCTCTGGTGCATCCAGAGCAGCTCTAGGCTGCAGCCTAGAAACCTGCTGTCCAATGTCTTAAAACAGTGCTTGCCTCACATATTTTGTCTGGTTTTCTAGTCGCTTTCAGCAGAAGATAATTCCCATAGCAGTTAATTCGTCATGGACAGAAGTGAAGGTATATTTAAAGAATTAAATAATATATAAAAATGCCTAGCAATAAGGCACTCAATAAGTGATTACATTAATCAATGAATTATTTGAATTACCTTCAATAATGATAGTAATAATATTAGCTAGGTTTAATTAGGCTCTTACTAGGTCTGAAACAATATAGTATCTTACATCTGATATCTGATAATACTAGTATCACCGTTTAATAGATAAGAAAGCTGAAGCAAAGTGAGTATAGCAACTTGCCTAAAGTCACACACATAGTAAGTAGCAGAGTCAGAATTTGAACCCTAATATACCTCCGAAGCACCGGCTGTATGACCTCAAGTATGGTGCCTTTTATCTTGTGTAGGAATACTTGGAATGAGTAAGATGGTAAAATAATGAGACTGGCTTCTTTAACCAACAAACCAGAATTTTTATCTTCAGGTGAGCATTAGTCTTCAAATTACTAATTACCTTGAAAGGGCACAAACTTACTTTAACAATGTTCATAGCACAGTTAGGGCTTCTCTTACAAAATGATGAGCCACAAAACGTAAATTTTTAACCCAAATAGTGTTCTTACTTTCAACCCAAAATAATAACCGGCTTACCCATCCACTATATTCATCAGTCTTATATCCAACTAGTTTTGCTGCTTCCAAAAAAATCAAAATTATCCTCAAAAGATGAAGATATCCATCATTTTAGCAAGCCTATTTTAAAAGGTGGGTGACAAATTCTCTAGTTAATTCCCAAGCAAATGTTGGTGGCATTGTTAGAATAATACTATAGCCTCACAAGGGATTGTTTTTAAAAGAACACTTAGTTGATCTTTAATATTTATTTAAAATACTATTGACATTTTATGACCATACTTTTTTTAATGTTTCTAGTTTTTATTTAAATTCTAGTATCTTTTTTTTTTTAACATATAATGTATTATTTGTTTCAGAGGTACAGGTCTGTGATTCATTAGTCTTACACAATTCACAGCGCTCACCATAGCACATACCCTCCCCAATGTCTATCACCCAGCCCCCCATCCCTCCCACCCCCCCACCACTCCAGCAACCCTCAGTTTGTTTCATGAGATTAAGAATTCCTCATATCAGTGAGATAATATGATACATGTCTTTCTCTGATTGACTTATTTCGCTCAGCATAATACCCTCTAGTTCCATCCACGTTGTTGTAATTGGTAAGATTTCAGGGTTTTTTTTGATGGCTGCATAATATTCCATTGTATATATATACCAGACCTTCTTTATCCATTCATCTGTTGATGGACATCTTGGCTCTTTCCATAGTTTGGCTATTGTGGACATTGCTGCTATAAACACTGGAGTGCACATACCCCTTCGGATCCCTACATTTGTATCTTTGGGGTAAATACCCAGTAGTGCAATTGCCACTGGGTGTTATACACAAACAATGAATCGTGGAACACTACATTAAAAATTAATGATGTAATGTATGGTGATTAACATAACAAAATAAAATTTTAAAAAAATAAATTCTAGTTAGTTAACTTGCAGTGTAATAGTTTCAGGAGTAGAATTTAGTGATTCATCACTTACATAGACCACCCAGTGCTCATCACAAGTGCCCTCCTTAATACCCATCACGATTTTAGCCCATCCTCCTGCCCATTCCAGATTTACTCCAAGAAATCAAGTAGGTAGGAAACACATTCCTTTATAAGAGAATTCATAGTGATCTTTCTTATAAAAGTGTTTCAGTTCTACAACCACAATAACTACCTATATTTCTTTGGAGATACATCTACTGTAAAAGATCAGATATTCCTGTGCCAGTAGGCTGCATGTCCAAACATTAGAAAATAATCTTAGTCCTTGATAGTCAAAGTGTGGTCCGTGAGCCAGCACCTTTATAATTAATTACCTATAAGCTTGTTAGGAACAGAGAATCTCAGCCCCACTCCAAACCTCCTGAATTAGAAAATCTGCATTAGGGGCGCCTGGGTGGCTTAGTCGTTAAGCATCTGCCTTCGGCTCAGGTCATGATTCCAGGGTCCTGGGATCAAGCCCCACATCGGGCTCCCTGCTCGTGGGAAGCCTGCTTCTCCCTCTTCCACTCCCCCTGCTTGTGTTCCCTCTCTCACTGTCTCTCTGTCAAATAAATAAATAAAATCTTAAAAAAAAAAAAAAGAAAGAAAAGAAAATCTGCATTAGCAAGATTTCCAGGTGATTTGTATGCAGGTTAAAATTTAAGAAACAGCTCCAGCTGATTCTATGAAGAGACGACGTAAGTTATAATGCCAATGGAACAACTAATGAAGATAAGGAAATGTTTTTTGGGTAGAATAGTCAGTGATTGACTATCTTTATTAAGGAGAAAGTTAAATCTACAGTGAAGTTTTAGGAATGTAGATCTTTAAGAGAACTTTAGCCAAATTTAGTTAGACCAGAGACGAGTATCAAAAAATTAAATAACTAGACCATAAAACTCCTAGAAGAAAACATAGGTGGTAAGCTCCTTGACATCAATCTTGGTGATAATTTTTGGATCAAACTCCAAAAGCAAAGGCAACAAAAGCAAAAATAAACAGGTGAGGCTACAAACTAAAAAGCTTTTGCACATCAACAGAGACCATTAACAAAAAGGCAACCTACTGAATGGAAGAAAATATTGCAAATCATGTATCTGATAAGGGGCTAATATCCAAATTATCTGAAGAACTCATAAAACGCAATAACAAAAAACCCCAAATAATCCCCATTTAAAAACGGGCAGGGGATCTGAACAGAAATTTTTCCAAAGAAGACATATAAATTGCCAAAAGGGGGCACCTGGATGGCTCAGTTGGTTGAGCAACTGAGCGTGGGACTCTTGATTTCTGCTTAGGTCATGATCTTGAGATCAAGCCTTGCCTTGGTCGATCTCAAGCCCACCTCGGCACAGGGCTCATTGTGCTGGGTGGAGAAGGAGGAGGGAGTTTCTGCTGGAGATTCTCTCCCTCTCCCTCTGCCCATCCCCCTGCTTGCACATGCTCCCTCTAATAAATAAATAAATAAATAAATCTTTAAAAAAATAAATTGCCAACAGATACATAAAAAGGTGTTCAAAATCACTAATCATTAGGGAAATACAAATCAAAAATCACAAGATAACAGCTCATACCTGTTAGAAGGCTATTATCATAATCCAATTAAAAAATGGGCAGAAGACATGAATAGACATTTTTCCAAAGAAGACATACAGGTGGCTAAGAGACACATGAAAAGATGTGCAACATCACTGATCATCAGGGAAATGCAAATCAAAACCACAATGAGATATCACCTCACACCTGTCAGAATGACTAAAATCAACACAAGAAACAACAGGTGATGGCGAGGATGGGGAGAAAGGGGAACCCTCCTGCACTGTGCAGGGGAATACAACCTGGGGCATCCACTCTGGAAAACAGTATGGAGGTTCCTCAAAAAGTTAAAAATAGAACCAACTTATGACCCAGCAATTGAACTACTAGGTATTTACCCAAAGAATACAAAAATACTAATTCAAAGGGATACATGCACTCCAATGTTTATAGCAGCATTATTTACAATAGCCAAATTATGGAAACAGCCCAAGTGTCCATCGAATGATGAATGGATAAAGAAGATGTGATTGATACACACACCCACACACATACACACACATATATATACCCCTATACACACACCTATACACACACATACATATATACACACACACATATACACCTATACACACACATATATACACATACATACATATATATACACACATACATATACACACACACGTATATACACACACATACATATATATACACACATATATATACACACGTATATACACACACATATATACACATATACACACATATATACACACACATACGTATATACACACATATATACACCTATACACACATACATATACACACATACATATATACACACATATACACCTATACACACACATATATATACACACATATATACACACACGTATATACACACACACATACATATATACACACACATATATATACCTATACACACACACATATACACACACACACACTGGAGTATTACTCAGCCATAAAAAGAATGAAATCTTGCTATTTGCAATGACATGGATGGACCTTGAGGGAATTACGTGATGTGAAATAAATCAGACAGAGAAAGACAAATAATGTTATAATCTCACTTATATGTGGAATCTTAAAAAAAAAAAAAAAGAGCTCAGACACAGAGAACAGATTGCTGATTGCCAGAAGCAGGGGTAAGGGTGGGAGAAATGAGTGAAGGAGGTCAAAAGGTACAGACTTTCAGTTATTAAATAAGTCATGGAGAAGTAATGTATAGCATAGTGACTTCAGTTAATAATACTGTTTTGCATATTTGAAAGTTGCTAAGAGATCAGATCTCGGAAGTTCTCATCACAAGAAAAACTATGTGAGGGGATAGATGTTAAGTAGATTTATTGTGGTAATCATTTTGCAATGTAGACAAATATCAAATCACTATTCTATACACTTGAAACCAATATGTCAATTATACCTCAATAAAGTAAAAAAATTAAGTAAATAACTTACAAGAAAATTGAACCCCTTTAATCTGAAAACACTGCCAGGCTTTGAGGGGTAGTCCTATTGTAAAACTCGGCCTGCGTTCAGGACACAGAAAGGCCCTGGGCCTCAAAGAAGTGAAGGAAGCTCAGAGAGCCCGGGAGGAACCTTGCAAGGCTCAGGCAGAATAGGAGTCCCACTGGAACGAATGAGGTGGAAACAGCTGTGACATCTATTTCTTTCCTTCAGGAGGTCCAAACTTTTTCCCATTTGGAATAAACTAGGAAATTCTATATCAAATAGAACTTTCTATAAAAGTTTTAAATTGCTTCAATCTGAGTTTAACCACCACTTCTCCTTTCATGTCTTCCTAAATCATCTTAAGATTACATCTAGAATTCAATAAGAAAAATTACAATAAAAATGGGTTTTAGAGTTTTCTCAGATTTATTTAATATTTCTACTGAGATGGATAAATCACAATTCAGAACTCCAGCAAGAAACAATACCTTGAAGCTACACTTCCGAGGAAGCAAGTTCAATATTCGGCACCACCAGAGACATCATACATACCATTTCAAAATAGGCATGAGACTCTTACCAATTATGATTCTCTAGATCCGGCAGAAACGTCGCAAAGGGGAATTCACTCAATATTGAAGGCTGGAGACAATCTGCTCTAGCATCGGGGAAGGGTTCTCAGGCATGAAAATGCACTCTGATATTCCTGTTTGAATAGGATGTGTTAGCCTGATTAGACATAGCTATGCACTGAAGACACTAGCCATATTTTTGTGCACCTTCTATCCCTCTTGCCTGCTCTCCGTGCCTGGCCTCACAGGGGGCTTCCTCAAGGGGGCCTTCCTATCCCCACAGCCTAGGTAGTTCTGAGGTGGTACAGTGCCTAGTGACACCGGGTACTGAAAAAATAGCTGTTGAGAAACAAAAACAAAGAAATAAGCCACGCTCATAAATATAGAGAACAGGGGGCGCCTGAGTGGCTCAGTCAGTTGAGTGTCTGACTCTTGGTTTCGGCTCAGGTCATGATCTCAAGGGTCGTGGGACGGAGCCCCGCTGCGGGCTCCGCACTCAGCAGGGAGTCTGCTTGAAGATTCTCTCCCTCTGCTGTTCCCCTGACTCGTGCACATGCTCTCTCTCCCTCTCTCTGAAATAAATAAATAAACCTTTAAAAATAATAAATAGAACAGACTGGTGGTTGCCAGAAGCAGGGGATGAGGGGTGGGAGAAATGAGTGAAAGGGGTCAAAACTTTCAGCTATAAAATTGATAAGTTATGGCAAAGTAATGTATAGCCTGGAGACTACAGTTAATAATACCATATTGCATATTTGAAAGTTGCCAAAAGAACAGATCTTAAAAGTTATCACAAGAAAAAAGTTTCTTTTGCAACTAGGTAAGGTGACGGATGTTAAATAAATTTATTGTGGTGAATCAAAAAGA